AATTGATTACATCTGTTGGAAGAGACCATAGAGAAGCTCCTTATCAGCAAAAACAAGGCCAGGAGACGACTGTAACAGACCAAAATTACTCATATGTAAGTTCAAGGTGAAGCTGAAGAAAATTTAACCAGCCCACAAGACTGTGTTAAGTTGGTAAGTGCCATCAAGTTAGTTCTGACTCATAGCCACTCTGTATTAGGTTTCCAAGAAGCAGCTGGTGGGTTTGAACCACTGATCTTGCAGTTAGCAGACTAGTGCTTATCCTGCAGTATCACACTAGGACTCTGACCTTGAGTGCATCCCACCTGAATTTAGAGACCATTGCAAGAATTGATTTGCTGCATTAGACACTAATGACTGAAGACCAGAAGAGTTGGTGGGATGACATCAAGAACATGACACAGGAAAGAAAAAGAAGGCCAAAATGGCTGTCAGAAGAGACTCTCAAACTTGTTGTTTAGTAAAGGAAGTAAAAGAGCTGAGCAGCTCGAGAAGCCAAAGTCACATATTAGAATGAAATATGCTAAGATGTGGAGTTAGAAACCAAAAGGGAAGAACACACTGAGCATTTCTAAAGCTGAAAGATCCGAAGAAAAAAATCAGCTCTCAAGTTGCAATCTGAAGGATTCTAAAGGCAAAATATTGAATGATGCTGGAAACATCAAAAATAAACAGCTGGAAGGAATACAGTGTCACTGTACCAAAAAGAGTTGGTTGATGTTCAGTCATTTTAAGAATCCATGGGATTGAAGGAAGAAGTCCAAGCTGCACTGAAGGCATTGATGGGATACAAACTGATGTAGCACTGGAGGCGCCTTATGTCAAGAAATTTGGAAGACAGCTACTTGGCCAACTCATTGGAAGAGATCTATATTTGTGCCCATTCCAAAGAAAAGTAACCCATCAGAAATCATCCAACAATATCATTAGTATCACATGCAAGTAAACGTTTGCTGAGGAGTTATTCAAAATGATTGCAGCAGGGCGCTGCCAGAGATCCAAGCCAGTCAGAAGAGGGCATGGGATGAGGAACATCACTGCTGATGTGTCAGATGGCTCTTAGCTGAAAGCAGAGACTACCAGAAAGATGTTTGCTTGTGTTTTACTGACAATCAAAGGTATTTGACTTAACATTGGGAAGAATGGGTATTCCATAACTCTTAATGAGGAACCTGAATCTAGACCAAGAGGCAGTCACTGGAACAGAACAAGGGGATACTGAGTGGTTTAAAATCAGGAATGGTGTGTGCACCAGGGTTGTATCCTTTCACCATACTTTTCAATCAATTTGTATGCTGATCAAATAATCCAAGAAGTGGAATTATATGAAGAGTGTGACATCAGGAGTAGAGGAAGACTTATTACTAATCTGTAATGACACAACCTTACTTGCTAAAAGCAAAGAGGACTTAAATACTGATAAAGATCATGACTACACCCTTTTATATAGATGAATTGCACCTCAAAATAAAACAGAAATCCTTAGAACTGGACCAATAATATCAGGATAAATGGAAAGAAAGATTGACGTTGTCAAATACTTCAGTTTGCTGAGACCCACAATCAATGCTCATGGAAGGAACGTTCACAATATCAAACACTGTATTGCATGCATTAGGCAAATCTGCCGTACAAGACCTTTAAAGTGTTGAAGAGCAAAGATGTCAGTGTGAAAACAAAGGTGCGCCTGACCCAAGCCATGGTATTTTCAATAGCTTCATATATGCATGGAAAGTTAGACAGTGAACAAGAAAGACCTTAGAAGAATTGATGCATTTGAATTATTTGTTATGGTTGTTAAGTGCTGTAGAGTTGGTTCTATCCCATAGTGACCCTGTATAGGGTTTCTGAGGAACAGCTGGTGAACTTGAACTGCCAACCTTGTGGATCAAACCGACTTTGCAGCCCAGTGCATTAACACACAGCACCACACCAGGAGTCCCATTTGAATTATGGTGTTCCCGAATATTGAAAGTACCATGAACTGCCAGAAAAACAAATTTATACTGGAAGAATTGCAGCCAGAATGCTCCTTAGAAGTCAGGATGACAAGACTTTGTCTCTTTGTCCTTTGGACATATTATCGGGAAGGACAAACCTCTGGAGAAGGACACCATACTCAAAAAAGTGGAGGATCCACAAAATACAGGGAGATCCCTAACAAGATGGACTGAAACAGTGGTAGCAACTATGCCTCAAACACAGAACAATTATGAGGACAGTGCAGGACTGAGTTCTCTTGTGCTTAGTTAGGGTCTCTATGAATTGGCACCAACTCGACAGCACCTAATAACATGCTGTAGATAAACTGCAGTCGAAAGATACAGCTCACACCATCATAGAGCGCACAGGCTAATTATTTGTACTTCTAAACTAAATACTTAGAGATTCAGAAAATTCCTGTGCAGGAAGAGTTGCTGGGAATCCAGAGTTCAGTTGGAAAGGTCCTTCCAGGTGGATCATGTGGTGGAGAGGGTGGGGTGGGTGCCAGCATTGAAGGCCAGCACCGTAAAGTATACACTGTGTGAGGTGTTCAGGGTGGTACCTATATGGTAGTCCAAGTAACTAATGACCATCAGTTTCTTGGCAAATACTTTCTTTTCTTCCATAGTTAAGGTTGACTCACCCCTACCCCCGGGGTCAGCATATGCTGGCATCATCCCATCCTTTTGGTATAATCAGCTGGGAGGCTGGTTTGTTGCTGTTAAGAGCTGTCAAGTTGGTTCCAACTCCCAGTCATTCTGTAGAGGGCTTTCAAGGCTTTCAATCTTTGCGGGAGTAGAAAGCCTCCTCTTTCTCTCGCTGAGCAGCTGGTAGGCTCAAACCACAGACTTTGTGGTTCACCAGTGCTTATCGTATGGACCACCCCACTCCCTGAACGGCTGGTAACAAGAGAGAAAATACAAGTAGGCTTCGTAAAGTTCATAGAAAAATGGAATTAAAATGTTTTCACAAACTTTCTGAACCATCCTCATACAAGGATGAGGGTTAAGGTTGTAAATTAAAACAGTACCTTTTGGTCGCAGCAGGCTGAGCCATGTCCAAGGGTGCTAGACCCAAAGGTACTTTTGGTTTCTGTCTCTGGTTGCTGACAAGTCTTGTTCTCCCCACTTTTCCTCCTCCTCCCAGATGGGCCTGCTGCATCTTACCCAGTCACCAGGGAGACATGCCAGTGGAAAACCGGACTGCAGGGTTAGGAAGACTGGTGAATCCCCCTTCTCAGAGAGTCAGCATCTGAAAGACTCCCCCCACCCCGGCCCCCTGCTAGAAAGCCCCCTGAGGCCATCCTCCAAGTTGGGCAGTGGGATTAATTTAGGAAAGAGGGACAACCAGACCCCAAACTACCCTAGTAGTGAACTGCCATTACAGGAAGGAGACACTATGGAGTTAAGACCAGAAGTTTCAGCCACCACGATTCAGTCACATTCTCTGTGTACCAAGTCGTGGTGCTTGAAATCTTTTGTGTGGAAAACTCAGTTTCAGTTCAGTTAGGAAGAGGGGGAGAGAGAACTTAGAGCCATAATTAAGCTAAGAAGAAAGACTTGCTTATTCCAAAGTATCTAAAAACAAAGTTTTAGTTAGAAAAATTGATCTGTCACATAAATAATGCCACCCTCCAATTTGGAAGAGGTTCTACCTGAAAGTTTTGCTGAGTAAGATTTTGGGGGCCTAGGTTGTCCTCTTCATCTCAGGTTATGAGCTTTCCCATAGGAAGCTTCTGCTGTGAGTGCCATTGGGGGAGGGAGCCGGGGAGGCTCTGAAACCCACACATGCAGGGTGGGCATCTCCTTCAGTTCTGCCCTTGGGCACCTCACTTACCTCACCCTAGAGTCCCAACCCCCAGTGATAGTCCGTAGCCTACCAGGTGGGAGAATCACTCTCAACTGCTGCATTCCGGATACACCACGAGCATGAGTGGTGATGGATAGAAAATAGATGTTTAGAACTTAACTATTCAAGGCTGAGTTCACTTAAAAGCGTCCATACAAAACATACTTAGGAAACGGATTCTTCCTTATATATGTAAATATGGAAATCTCTGTTTCAGACATTTAAGGCAGTTGTTGACTGCCGTAAACTGGCTTCCTACCAGACTTACTGACGACACTGACCAGGGTAAGGTCTGTACTAACTGCATGTATTCCCAGCACCAGGGGCTGGCCAACTTTTCCTACAAAAGATGAGATAGTAAACAATGTAGGATCTGCAAGCCATATGGTCTATCGGAAGGCGCCCTCGTGGCACAGCCGGTTAAGTATTGGGCTGCTAACCGAAAGGTCACCAGCTGGAACCCTGTGGAAAGATTTACAGTCTTGGAAATCCTAGGAGGCAGTTCTACTCTGCCTGTAGCGTCAGAGTCCGAATCAGCCTGATTGTAGCTATTCAGTCTAGCACCAAAGCAGGAACAGGCAGTTCATCAACAAATGGGCATAGCCACGCTCCAGTAAGACAATTCATAGAAACCAGCTACAGGCCACATTTGCCCACCTCTATCTTAGATTTGGAGTTCTGGCATGGTACTGTGGACCAGTTGTTCCTCAGAAACCCTATAGAGAGAGGGTCGCTATGGGTCGGAATCGACTCGATGGCACTTAACAATCTTAGACATGGTATGGTGCTACACTGGTCCACAAGGCCTGTGGTTCAAACTCACCAGCTGCTCCTGAGAAACACTATACGGGGTCACTATGAGTTGGAACTGATTCGACGACACTTTACAACAAGAAGAAATGGCAACAAGTTGAACATGTTCTCTTGAAGAAAAATTACTGGTTTATGTCCTAATAGGTACCAAAGTGGCTCAAACTATTTCTACTAAAGTGATGCTGTTTCTTGATTGAGTCAGATGACTTGCTTAAAACAGCCTAACACTTTCTATTTGCAGTCCACATTCTGCAGGCCATTGTTGAAAGCAATGCACCAAGCCAAGAACCAATCACAGCTGCTGGAGTTGTTAGAGCCACTGCATTCCTCACCTAATTTTCTCTTCTTCCCTGCAGGTCTGTTCCTCATCCTGGGTTTGATACTCTACCCTGCTGGTTGGGGCTGCCAGAAGGCCATAAGCTACTGTGGACATTATGCGTCTGCCTACAAACCCGGAGACTGCTCCTTGGGCTGGGCCTTTTACACTGCCATCGGCGGCACAGTGCTGACCTTCGTGTGTGCGGTCTTCTCCGCACAAGCAGAAATTGCAACCTCCAGTGACAAAGTACAGGAAGAAATCGAAGAGGGAAAAAACCTAATCTGCCTCCTTTAGTCTGGAAGAGAGACATTAGTGCCATGCTCGTCCATGTGTAACCTTGTGAAACAACTCACCTCCTGTTCCATTTGAGTCAAGTGGAGAACTAGCTTCAAACTACCAAAGCCACATTCCACAGCCCCCAGGCCTTAACAGGACTGATGAGAGACAACATCCAGCCAAGCAGAGTTACTGGACAGGAGGGCCACAGTGCACATTTTAAAAGGACAGAACCTGAAACTAGAATAAACTGTGACATGTAGTTGGCAAGTTCTGCCAGACTCCCACTTCCCCAGGGCTCACCAAAGGATAATGATCTCACTCACTTAGGTAGTGGTTTCTCTGGAAATAGAAGAGGCTGCTTGTCAGATTTGCAAGCTGTTTTGAGACAGTTTCTGCCACCAGTTTGCATCCCTGTCTCCGCTTCGGGATACGGTTTTGGGTTGGCGTTCAGTTTTCTGCCTTGTCCTTATGACGTGTCTAGCTTAGAGACTAAGATGAAGACTACAGACTTATTGGGGTTAGGAGATGTGTGACAGGGAACAGCACGCTGACCAAAGAGTCAGCAAGGACGGTGGGATCCTGTTGTGGAACTATTTCTAAGCCGAATTCCAGGGTGAGCTATCCCTCCACGAGTTTTCAGAAATTTGAGAAAAATCATACTCACCTGAATAATCACATGAGGATAGAAGCAAATAATTCTGCTAGTGACAAAAATTCATACCTCTTCCCAGCAGCCATGCTACGGCCAACACTGGCTCGGTCTCCTCTGCCACTATAAATCACGTTTTCTCCCAGGGTTAGTTAGGATTGCACATTGACTGCCAAAGGCAACCTCCCGTTGTTTCCTCATTCCAAGACAGAGTCTCCAAGACAGCTGTGGCTCATTGAGATGTTGGCTGGGAAGACTTCAGGATCTCAGCATATTGGTGGGGGCAGAGGGGAGTTCCCTTTCCTACTGTTTGGTGGCTGGACTCGACCATATTTACCACCCAAGCTGCAGTCATGGCCATGAGTTCAGTTTTTCCTAATTACTGGTGTGAATCCTGAACGTTGACTACAATAACATTAAATTGCTGCAAATTGGAGAGTTGCATATCAAAGGCTCTGTTCCCAGGAAAGTACCCAGTAGAAAGTTAATGCAAAAACAGGAGCTAGAGCAAGCTCATAGTACCTACACCTGTTTACCAAAAAGAATTGAACACCACTATTTTAAACGATTCCGAACTTGTCTTCTAGTTTAATTCAGGGAAGAAGATGAGGGTTATTAGCCAGCCCCTTAAATTTAATTTTGGTGTAAACAAAGAAGCCAGAAAAGAGCTCGGTCTTGCGTTACCTTAAGCTACAGAATTGCAGAATAATTACCAGAAACACAATTCAACCATGTGGGGGTGGAATGGCTAGTTTTCTGGAAGTATTTAAAATATAGGCATTTTGGGATTTGTAAATCTGCTCACTTATGGCTTTGTTCTGGAAATTTAAATAATTACTGAGCACACAGAGGCGGCACTGCACCTTGTGTGTTGCAGGTATACAACCTTTAATCAGATTTCACAACTTTGCCCAGAGAGAACCATCTGAAAGCCTTGTCTTTAGAAAGAGCAAATAGAGCTGGGACAAGGGCAACTAAGGTTTTATTCCATTCTAGCCTTTGGCTTATTCCAGAAACCATCTTATAGTACAAATTAAGAGCTAAAAGCAGGGCAGGGCGCAGGTATTAATGAGTTGACCATTCTTGGACCAAAGTTCAAAGTACTCAAAGTAATAAATCCTAAGACTATTTTGATTTTTTTTTTTTTTTTTTTAAAGAAGGCTAAATAGGTATCCTCCTAGAAATCACATTAGTAAAAGTTTGGGAAACAGCCATGTCTCTGACACCACATGGAAATAAGTCTATGGGCGCCACTGGATGAAGCTCCTCCTGTCTCTGAGTGTGCATTTATAGTATTTTCATCAAGTCCCTAAGACTCCCTATCTCAGAAGGCTCACATGACTTAGTGCTCAACTCTCAAAAGATTCTGTTTGACCTCAGCTACGTGTCTGGCGGTCTGCTTCCAAAAGGTCACAGCCTTGAAAACCCTAGGGAGCAGTTACCTGTTCACACAGCGTTGCCATGAACTAGAATTCAACTTGACAGCAACCAACAGCCAAGTACCTACGCCACAAGAGTAACTACTTACCAAACCTATTCCTACTGTCGGGCAAATCAGCTTGACAAATATTTTTATCATCTGAAGAGTCGCTCTGTAAAATAGAATATGGGCGCTCTAACACTTGTACAAACTCTCCTCCTTACAGACGAGTCAAGAGCCCATACCCACCGACATCTTTACTGCCATAGAGCATTCTGATGACAGTCACCACTGGCAATGTTACGTCTCTTGGCCAAAATAAAGCCACAACAGTGCTGATCGCATTAGTTTGAATGCTACAAGAAAAGTGCACGCACGCACACACACACAACCCCTAGCTACCAAAAACTATTTAAACACTGACCTAGTAAGCAGAGACAGTACAAAGGTAATGTGGGACCTTTTTAACCTTCTCTCCACTGGCCATGCTTTGGTTGGACTGAATGGAACATCTAACATGACAGTAGTCTAGGCAAGCTTTTCTGTACAGTTGTTTTAACCACCACTGAATATGAGGAATGTGTGAGGGGGAAAAATAAAATTACAGTTACTGTTTGTTGACCCACACCTAAGTATAGCTGGACCACTACTATTACTACCACTGCTAGGGAAGTCTATTTATTTTTTTGCCTGCATTTGTGCTTAAAGGAAAGTTTCATGATGGGCTGGCCTTCTCAATGAACTCCAAGGAAGCAGAAATATTGGGACTGTGGATTCTTAAACCTGTGTGCGAATACAACAATGTTACATTATCTTTTAAAGAATTTTGTACTTTTCAGACACCTGTGGTGTAATGAACTTTGTTCAGACATGTACTCTGTAAAGTGCCATAGTCTTTTGTGTGTGTAGCATATTTAAATAGAGAGATGTCTATTCTACATACACAGTCTGTGTAGAGATGTGCAATAACCAAGGTGTATGTTTCATTTCTGTGGAAACTGGACAGGAGTCAGAACAGGGAGGTGTTTCTGTTTTGGCAAAGAAGAGTTACACATTTTGGCCTTCATGACCTAATCACTAACCCATGACTATTTTAATGCTACACAAGTCTTATGTGAAGAAAAGACTGGTATGAAATCGTTTTTTCCTGGGTCTAATTTTAAATAATCACTAGATTTATGTGAAAGTCAAACCAGCAAGCCGGGCCCAGTTAATGCTAGTCTTTCATGTAAAATGTGAAGCTGCCTTTTCTGTTAGTGTGATAACTAGGAGCTGGTATATAATCACTAAGGAGCTATTTCTTAACATGCTTTTATAGACTGTGTTCATGCTAGACCACTATTTAAGGGCTAATCGCACTCCTTAGCCGTAAGAGTCTGGCTTAGGACAGACCTCTCTGTGCAATAACATGTGGCCACTGGAATCCCTGGCCTGCAATTGTATTTGGGTGGCGATCACTCCCAAGGGCCAAAAGAATTAACGGCACAACTGGGATTTCTTCTGAGTGTGGTGAAACTCCTTCCAAGGCTGGGGTGGTCATTCGGTGCTTTGGAAAAACTCGGCACCACTTGATTTCAACAGCCACTTGAGCCAAATATAAAACTGTATTTTACAGCCGATGGACTCAATTTGAGCTTTCCACTGTGTGGTTATCCTATTATATTGTAAACTACTCCATTGTTTGTCTAGCATTGATTATGTTACTGTGCATATGTATTTTCACAACCTGCTCCCTTCCCCTCCCCAGATCTGAATTAAACCCGACTTTGCAAACACATTCTGATTCAAGTCTGTGTACCTTGACTTCAGTATGATGTATGTAATTTGATCAAGAAAATAGCTACCTGTCAAAATATATTTAAACACTTGTACATTTTTCACAGGAAAAAAAGATGTCCTGGTATTTTAAATTATTCCCTTCACTAGTAACATGTAAGTAAAAGATTGCTACAAGGATTTTTATGGAGTCCTGGTGTGGCACTGTAGGATAAGCACTGCACTGCTAACTACAAGGTTGGCGGTTCAAACCCACCAGCTGCTTCTCAGAAATCCTACACAAGATTGCTGTGAGACGGAACTAACTCGATAGCACTTAACAACTAGAGTTTTAGCATTCATTCTTCATGAGTAGCAAAGGCTATCCCAAGAAAATCTCATTGGGAAACCTTATCCAATCCACCCTACAACCCTGATCTTGCCCATTCAGATTCTATGTTCACCCAAACTCAAATAACATTGAAAAGAAGCATGATTTGAGTCATGAAATGACTGATGGGTTTGAACCACCAATCTTGTGGTCAATAGTACAGTGCTTATCTTACAGCAATCAGGGATTAGAAATGGAAATACAGCCTTCATAAGTGTACAGGCCTATCCAGAGGATAGACAAGAGGAACAATAGCTTCACATTTTGGTATTTTTATTTATAATAAATGTTTCTGTGATTTTATAGTATACTGTTTGACTTACCTCATATATCCCTACTCTTGGTCAGCTTTGGGGAGCATCGTGGCTCCAAACCATAAAGTCAGCGGTTCGAGCCCACCAGTCACTCCACGGGAGAAAGATGACGCTATCTGCTCCTACAAGAGATTTTTAAAAGCCTTGGAAACCCTATACAGAGTTGGAACCGACTCCATGGCACATAATAACAACTGTATATAATACCTCCTTGAAGAAGAGTCAACATTTAAGGGGGGGGGGGGGGAAGGAAGCTTTCAAATTCTTTACTAGCATCTTAATTTTACAGTGACACAAGGAAATAAGAAAATATTTCAATGTATTAAAAAGGTTTTATAAGTTAATGAAAAAAAATATGTACAGTAATGATAAGGGGGGGAGGGGAATCAACAGAAGGATACAGTCTCCTTTTCCAACAAAAAAAACCCCCCACAAAATTGTAAAGCCATACAGAGCAATTCTACATCCACATTTCCTGAAGGCCAT